CAGTCCCGCTTTATTGCTAATCGGATCGTCCTCCGCATTAATCCCCAAAAAGGGGATTCGAATAGCCAGTACCGCGTCTACGGATTGCGAGTCCCTGTAATACGCGCCTTCAGTCGGATACCCCCACGTCGGACACTGGACATGTCTGTCGAATTCGTGGAGGTATTTACTTGCCAACAGCGCTGTCTCGTCGATACCGGGGTTCTTCAGTATTTGCTCGCGGTGCCGGTGGAAGAGATTCATGAGGTTCTTGCCCATGGTGCGGGAGTAGATGTGGAGTCCTAAGTATGTGGATTGGAGGGTTGTGTTGCACACTTCTAGGTTCCAGGGGTTCGAACAGGATACCGCGGCTTTGAGGGTGCAGCGGGATCCTTCTTCGCCGCAGTAGTTTGTGAGGATGTTGGCGCCGAGGCTGAAGCCTATGGCGTAGAGGGGGCGGTTGGGGAAGAGGGCATGTAGGGTCTTGATGGTTTGACGGAGGTCCCAGGTTGCGCGTGAGTTGAAGAGTTGGGGGGTTGAGATTGCGGAGAGGGCGCAGCCACGCCCGTTTACGACACATGCGGCCCAGGGTTGCGAGCGCGATGTGAGGAGCGGTTGGAGGGTTTCGCGCAGGTAGACTTCGTGGGAGCCGCCGGTTAGGCCGTGGAGGGCTATTAGCATGGGGGTGTTGTCTGGACTTCCTATTGCGTCCCATTCTTTGGACGTGAAGTTTGTGGTTCGTTCGGGGAGTTCGGTGGTGTCCTTTTCTTCGGCCATTCGCGTAGCGGATGCGAGTCCTTCTTCTTTTGGTACGACGAAGTCTACGGCAAAGGTGCCGGGGTAGACGGAGTGGTCGGAGTCGAAGATTTGGCGCTTGTAGTAGATTTCTGGGCCGGGGTCTTTGACGGCTGTGTACATTGTCTGGAGATGGCCGTTGAAGAGGAAGGGGTTTAGGCGGCATGGTGGGATTGAGGACTCGGCGATCTCTTTGAGGTTTGTTTTTGAGCCAGTCTTGGTCTGGAGGGGTGTTGGCGAGGCATGGGAGGTGTAGGTCGTTTTGCTGTGGCCTAGGAGCCAAGACATGATGAGTTTGGTTGGAGTGCTACCCAATGCGAGATTGGAAGGTGTCGTGTTTCTGTATGAGGGGTACCGCGACTCTATGTAAGACCTCGAGATCCAATCCGATAGGCAACCACCTCAGCACTACTGTAGGTTTTCGGTCCTGTTCCTAGCTCTTTCACGATACCCCCACTCAGTCGATCAATGGCTGGAATGTTTGGTGTATTTGTTGAATTCAGCTTCAAGGACGACCTTCCCTGTGAATTGATCTTGACAAAGAGATGGTGAAAGTCTTATCTAAAATCACATACGTACGTAAGGTGGAAAGAATTGGGCCTCGGTCTGGCTACGACTAGGCTGCATGTGTTGGTGCAGCAAGCGCGCGTCTGTGGGCCAATGGCGCTCAACGGCGCTGGCGCGTTCGCGATTGCCCAAGTTCGCGACTGCCCATTACACGTCCTCACGTCGACACCCCGCTTTCGCCCACGATGCACCGCCTGTACCTCGACTCCCGGTGACGATCCTTCTCCTGAGTATCCTCCGCCATGGATCCGCGATACGGCTGGCAGCCCCAGGGCTATCCCAACGGCCAGTACAATCCGTATGCGCCGCCTCCGCAACAACCGCAACAGCAGCAGCCAAATGTCTACCAGCAGCATGGCTATCCGCAGTACCCTCCCATGCAGATGCAGGCGCCGCAAGGATATCCTCAGTCACAGCCACAGCAGTATCAACTGCCGCCACAGCCCAGCATGCCCCGACCCATGAGCCAGCAGTATGCGCCAATGCCTCCGCAGATGCAGCCACCACAGCAGCAACCCCAGTACCAACGGCAGCCTCAAGTCGTCATTCCCCCGAGGACGCAGCAATATGCCCCCATGCCGCAGATGCAGCCCCCAAGGATCCGACATGTCCAGGTGCCGGTCCAGCGAACAGGCAGCACGGGCATGGCGCAAACAGACGGCTCGGGTGACCAACAGCGGCGGTATAGCGCACAGCAGGCACCCAACACGCCCAGCTCCAAGCCAGTGCAGCGGTCGCCGTCATTTCAAGAGAACGGGCCCAGGCCACAGCAGCGACCCGTCGTCACTCCTTCGCACAGTCAAGCCCAGTCTCGAGCGCCTCTACAGCCGCAGACGACGCCTCAGCAACAGCGGGTACCTTCGCAGTCGACGCCTCAGCAGCAGTACATGTCCTCTCAACCCACCCTTCAACAGCAGCGACCTTCGCAGTCGACACCCCAACAACAGCGCCCTCCACAGTCGACACCCCAGCACCAGCGACCTCTACAGTCACAGTCAACGCCCCAGCTGCAGCGTATGCCCTCACAACCCACGCTTCAAGAACAACGTCCTCTCTCACAATCTACTCCTCAACAACCGCGACCCCCACAGTCTACCCCTCAGCAACAGCGACCCCCTCAATCAACGCCCCAACAACAGCGCGTGCCCCCACAGTCTCGGACGCCGTCGAGCCAGTATGGCAGTCCGTTCCCTCAGCCGCCCTCGTCCAAACCACGCATGCACCCCCAAGTCGTCATACCGAAAGCGTCGTCTTTGCATCAGCTTACACCCACGAAGCGCGCCCATCCTCCTCCTCAGAAGGCCCTTCCTGCTGAGCTCTCCGAACTATTGCTTACGGCTGCGGACGAATACATTGCGGTCGCGCGAGGCATGGGATCGCTGCTCATACGGGAGAGAAGGGAGGCCGACGTCAGGCAATACTACAAATTGATGTCCACTGCCATGGGGTGCATGGATACTGTGCTGAAGGACTTTAACATGCCGCCAAGGGACGAAGCCAAATTGCGGTTGAGGTATGCCAGCTTGATGATTGAAGAGACGGATATCGAGGCCGCGGACATCTCCAGTCGGATCGAGGAGATTCTGTCCAAGCAGATATCGCTCTGTGGACGCCATCGCCTGCAAGATCTCAAGTTTGCTGCCCTCCATCTCCAAGCACGATATCAGTTCAAGACCAACCACCGCGCCGGTCTCAAGTCACTCGACCAGCCTATAAAGGAGGCCGAGACCTTTCAACACATTGCCTGGGTGTATGCGTTGCGGTTTCTCAAAGTCACGCTCGCACTGCAGATACCGGGTCGTGTCGAGGTCGCATTGGCTCTCCAGCAACTCCATGCTATACAAGATCACGCGGACCGGCGGGGTGATCGAGCCATCTACGTGGCTTGTCACGTACTCGAAGCGATGGTCCATCTACGCTCGGGTGCAAGCGATCGCCTCGAACAAGCCCAACGCGCCATCGCAGCGGCCAGAAGCCTGCAGCTTCAAGTCTCAGCCAAGCAGCTAGGATCGTTTGGCACTCTCATCGACATTATTGACATCGCTAGCGGTATCCAAAAGGGCAGCCCCAACCCGCAGAAGTCTACTGCGCTTCTGGAATGGATACTAGGCGACAAAAACGAACAGAGCAGCTCCCAAAGCGGCGTCTTCACTGTTCTCATTGAGCGGAGTTTTGGAGGTCACCTTACGTTTGACACTGCTGGCATCTTCCGAAAGAACGCGGAGCAAAAGGACGAATTGGTGTTTGCATGGCTTCCGATGGAGGATCTTCAAGCGTTGTGTTTCCATATCTGCGCACTGGACCAACATGTTCATGAGAAGGGTCTGAACTTCATGAAAGAAGCCCATCAGCGCTTCCGAGAGACTGCGAAGCGACGCGTCTACAGTGGTATACCTATATCCATCGCGTTTGCACGCATCGAGTGGAACATGGTACTCGACTGGTATTCCATGTTCGCCATCGGCCTCATGGCGCGTACTAGGAACGATTACGCGACCGCCGACGATGCGCTGGGTTTCCTCAAGAAGAAGATCTCAACGACCCCATACAACAACCAAGAAGCATTCGCTCGTACGCTCGCCTACTTCTCCGCCATCACCGACCAGATCAACGGATCCCACAACTCGTCACTCGCAGCATTGTCCTCTGACGTCCTCGCAATACCAGAGAAGGCCCACGCAACGCCCGCCAAAACAGACATTGCAATAATGGCAGCATTGAACCGCCTCCTCATTCTCCGCGATGTCTCGCATCCCCAACACTTCCAAGCCGCCCTCCTTCTAGCTCAAATCAAACCCCTCTGCGACGACCACCCCAATCAATACATACGCATCGCCTTCCGCCTCGTCCAAGCCTACCACAGCGAAGACGCGCCCATCCTGCAACAGAAGAAAACCGTTCAAGCCGCCGTAGGCATGGCCCAGGATGTCTCAAAACGAACCCAGAACTTCGAGTTCGTCGCTATGATGATGTGTTACTTTGTCGCGCGCTTCTTCGCCGAGACCGTCGGCGAGAAGAGTATCCAGGCGATTCGTGCGGCGAGGTCTCAAGCGGTTAAAGTGCATAGGCCGCTGTGGGTTGCTGTTGTCGCGGGTCTTTGTATGAATACTTATAGGAGGAATGGGCTTGTGGCTGAGGCGGATGCGGCGGCGCGTGAGTTTGAGAATGTGAGGGGGCAGTTGCCGGGTGCGTTGAGGGGGGTGCATGGTGGGGATGGGGATGTGGATGTGGATGCGGATGGCGATGTTGATGCTGAGGGGGAGGAGGATGTTGATGCGGATGGCGATATTGATGTTGTGGGTTAGGTGGAGGGATGGGTCGTGCGGATTCTTTTCTTCGATGTTTGTTTTCGAAGCTTTCTCATACATGCATCTGTTGGCGCTATATGGCGGGGCTTCATCATGTACTGTAAAGGGTTCGAGATACCATGGCAGTCTATGCGCGATGATGCGCGGCGTTTCAGTGCATTTGCGTTATCTGAGTGATTGGGAGAAGTGTGTGTGATGTGTGAAGTGAGGCAAAGTGTAGGATAGGCTAGAATATGGGGTAATGTCTACATATATTCATCAAGATGAATCTGTACCTGCTCGCGGTTGATGTCGATTGCCGGATTACTCGTAGTCCTCGTGCTGCAAGATGACAAGGGGGAAAGCATTAGATCATGAGGTCGTCCACCGAGCGAGAAGCTCATTCACAATGTCTTCTCCGTTGTCTTCTGCAGGCACCATTGCGCTTTCCTGGTCGTGACTGCGCATAGCTTCCATCTGTCGGTTTGCTATCTGAGAGAAGTCGAAATTGTGACTGGGTGCCAAAGAATGCATGCCCACATATGGCTCGGGTCCCTGGGCATGATAAGGCCTCTCCTCAGGTAGGACCTGATGTACAACTGGTTCAACATCAGCGTCAACCTCGTCGTCCGATTCGTCGTCCGCATCCGTCATCTCCGTTGCTGCTGAACGAGCAGGTCTCTTGGTACTCCATGAATCTATGCTCTCGCTAGAAGGCCGTAGGAAGTATCCGTCGAATTCGTCTTTAGATACGGGCGGGATCGGGGGTGTAGAGCTCCACTGTGAAGCAGACTTTGACAACGGCAGTGTTGTCTTGGTAGATCCTAGAGAAGCGATAGGCATGAAGTCATGGATTGTTTCCATCGCAAAAGGTGCTTTTGATAACGGCAGTGTAGGCTCGGTAGAAGTTGTGCTCATAAACCCGCCGTTGTTGACCGCGATGACCCATTTCAATGTTTCAACGTTCAGCATGCCAAATACGCTGGAAACAGTGATGTTGGGTTGCAGACGGATATAGACTATCTCCGGTCTGTCATATCCTATGTACGATGCAGTTATCATCATTTGCTGCTCTTTGGTGAGCTCTGACATGGCAATATGTGGATCGTTGCCGTCGTCAGTGTATGTCTTGACCAGTCCTTGGAGTGACTTCTGAGGCAGCTTCATCATACTGCTGGTGACAGAGTCCCCGTAGCCTGTCGCAAGCCCATGAAGGTAATTACTCGTCCATCCCACATAATGGCGCATTTCGTAGTCATTGGCTGAGCTGGTACTCTGTTGTACATGTTCGAGCTCGTAAGGCAATTGGGGAACTACACCAGGCCCAAAACGACTGTAAATCGATAACGTGTGGTTATAACTAGCGGATGGATCTGGAGGACCCGCATCCGGCAAGGCACCCAGAGCATGGCCTGTCTGTTGTTCTGGAAAGGCTACACCTTCTATGTTCTGGTACGGATCGAGTGATGTAGATGTACCTGCTTCGATGATCGGATTTGGCCTGCTGGGAAGTCCTTGCAACTGCATGTCCCCAGCGGAGGCTAGAAACACGTTTGCAGGACTGACTGTGGTGTGACTCCCTGAGACCCCGTGTGCATCGTCAATAGAAAGCGGTGTAGACATGTCATCAAGTCGCGCGTCAGGCGGGAGAGCTTTCGCCGAGTTCATAATCCTGGGCCTAGGCGTGTACCTGTCAGGCACGCTCTGATCTGAACCAAGACCCGGAGCGGGACGCTTTCGTGGGCCTCGTTCTTCTCCTTGAGAAGATTCCATTCGAGGTTGTGGCTTGGCCGTACTCGCTCGTTGCAGATGTACAATTGTAGACGTGAACTCCGCCCTCTCCGTCTCATGGATCGGTCGCTGTTGACCATTTCGCTGTGCAAGTGCAAGACTGGCCACAGCAATCATCAGAACAAGGTTGCTTTTTGCATCGCGAAGGTCATGGCGTAGTTCGTCGAATTGCGGCTGCAAGAATGGCCATTTCGCTTTCTCAAACCGGGATAGCTCGATCTTTGAATGCAGGGCGGGGCGCTTTCCCACCTGTTCGAAGGCGCGACGCAAAAGAGTCTCGATCTCGGTAAAGGAGGACCGGCAACGACGGAGAGCGTGCGATATGTCACTCAGGGCGACAGTATTGAACACCGACTTCAGCGTGCCTTGCGCATCAGGCTGGGGTATGATGAGCTCGCGCACCTGGTTTAGAATTGCGCATGTGCTGCTGATGTCGTCCGCGATACTCGTAACTCTTTGGCTTGCTGTCGCGACCTTTTCGGCGAGTGCGTATAGCTTTACGGAGGCTTGTACGCCGGCTGCGGTGATGCCGACCACGGATCCTGCGATGCTGAGAGGATCTGCCATTCTATGCTTTCGAAGCAGTAGACGTTCTGAGTCAGTTTGTCAAACGATCAGACATTGCATAGGAAAGAGGTAGAAGCCAGACTGTTAGGCGCATAGTCTGCAATTGTAGGAAGGCTGAGATGTGCGTCTTGGGGGCGCAGCCGGCTTACTCGAGATTGCGTACAGCTCACCCTGTTCGACCAACACACAGGATACCTAGGTAGGCGCAGTGCAGCCTGCATTAGCATGGCAAGCGGATGTTGGCAGAATCTTAACGCAATGTTGACTCTCGGATTCCTGGCTTTGGTTGTAACCTCTAGGGATGGGCGTTCGATATGCCACCCAAATAGGGTGGACTCATCATGCCGGCAGATGGCCGCATGGTGGTACCTAGGTAGTAACACAGCTCAGCTCTGCCTCATTGGAAAGAAATCTCAAATTCGCAAGGCGCATGGTGCGGTCACCGCTCGTTCTTGTTGTCAAAGTCTAGTACCCAGGGTGTTGAATGCTTCCAGGAGCCGGTGTAGACCCTGCCAATCTGCCCCGCCCCACTTCAGCTTCGGGCGACGCCAACCCATGTCTTTCAGAAGGATGCACCTCGATCCCTCAACGGAATAGCCACGCCACTGCTGACATGACCATGTTATCTTGCACTCCTTCGCTGCTGTCAGCGCACGATCTGCGAATTTCCATTGCGACCACCTCAGGTGGCGACTTGATCAGCTTTCTTCCACTGCTTTTGCAACATGCACCTTCTACGACGTGACGCCGACGGCGAGTTCAGCCTTGCTGACTATGACGACAGGCAGCTGCCACCCTACGCGATACTGTCGCATACCTGGGGTTCCGATAACGAAGAAGTGTCCTTCAAAGACATCGTGAAAGGCAGAGGCAAAGAAAAGCAAGGCTATGCCAAACTACACTTCTGTGCTAACCAAGCTGCCAATGATGGACTGGAACATTTCTGGGTAACCTGGCGATGTTCTTCTTCCTTTGCGCATCGGCTAATACCTGTTAGGTGGATACGTGCTGCATTGATAAGAAAGATAGCGTGGAACTCTCGAAAGCGATCAACTCCATGTTCTCGTGGTATCAACATTCAACCCGATGCTACGTCTATCTTTCCGATGTGACAGCGCCGCCTCGAACGCCTTGGAAGGCTGCGTTTCAGAAGAGCAAATGGTTCACCAGAGGCTGGACTCTACAGGAACTACTCGCACCATCTTCCGTTGAGTTCTTCACTGTTGATGGTAATCGCCTAGGTGATAAGCGAACACTGTCGCAGGTTATCCATCAAGCTACAGATATCTCTTTGCGAGCTTTGAAGACTTCCCCACTGCATCTCTCAGAATTCAGTATAGAAGAGCGGATGTCCTGGGCAGCTGGTCGTGAAACCAAACGGGAAGAGGATGCGATTTACTCTCTACTTGGCCTCTTCGACGTACACATGCCACCCATATATGGAGAGGGCAAATCAAATGCGTTTGATCGCCTCGAATCGGAGATTCAACGAAAGATGGCACTTGATGGTTCACGCAAAAGAAGCGCCGAGGAAGCTTTTGAGACGTTTCTTCCAGAGGAAGGCATTTCAAAGCGGAAACAGTCTACAAGCGACGGAGCTCAGGGACGTCCATCGTCAATGCAGAACTGGTGGACTGAAGCAATCGCCAGGAATATAGGGACTACCAGCAGCTATAAAAAGGGTGCTGTGTTGCTGTTGAAATGGGCAGATGAATTGGATGAGCTGCAAACCAGCAACGAAGTGAGTGAATTTAGATTTAAGTTGAGCTTTAGCACTACCCAGTATCTTCGCGCAAGTGTCCTAAATTGATCACAGGTAAAAGAGCTCGGGAATGTCTTCCAGGACCGATTTCATTTCGAGATTGACGTTGTTGAACTCAACCACCGAAGCAAACCACAACATCAGATGGATCGAATTGTGACTACATTCGTTGAGACCCACGACCAGCCCCATAACTTGTTGATCGTGTACTATACGGGCCATGCTATTCACTACAAGGATGCCGGTCGACTCAAATTTGTACCGTCCTCGGACCCATCAGCGGCCGGTGGCACTTCTACCAGTGGTCAGATAAACTGGTACAAGACAGAAGAATTTCTGTGTTCGGACGAAGTCGATGGAGACGTTCTTGCGATACTGGACACAACGTATGCGAGTAATAGCGATATACGTCGTGTGTCCAATGAAGAAAGCGACTCGAATCATAAGGACCAAGGAACTTCCAGGCGATTCCAGTTGATAAGCAGCTGTGAAAGACCAGCTCCTAGCTCCGGGTCGCTCACGCGCGCGTTGATTGACGGATTAAAAGAGCTCTGGGAGCGTGACGAGAACTCTGGTTACTCGACTCAGGACCTTCATCAGTGCATTGAGATCAACCCAATACGATCAGGCATAAGCTCTAACATGTGGTCTTTGCTATCGAACAAGGGCCATATCTTTCTGACACCGATAGGGCAACCAGAAAATGATGGGGGTGTACTCGAGCAGCAGCGTAGGCGCCCTGGACAAGGTTACTTGAAGCTTGGCTTCGCACTGAAGGATCCGTCTTTGAATAAAGACCAGATAGATCGTCTTGCAAGTATCCTGTGGTCATCGTTGGATGTCCAGTCTATTGGCCTAAGCGGCATTGATTGGCTTGGGTTTGAGCGTGGTGGATAGGGTTACTCTCGTTCTTAGACTCTCTCTCGTTGAAAATGAGAGCCATTGCACAATAGGACATGGTGGCAGAGAGAAAGGCAGAAAGGGTATTTGTTGCTCATTAAGCTTTTTTGTCGCAGCATAGTCGGGGTCCAGCAAATGTGAGTGTGTAGGCAGCATGAGCTCAACGCCAATCGGCTACTGTCCTTCTACACTGCGGTTTTACCTTAGTGAGCAAGAAACTTTACATGTGTATAGTAATCACAAAGATGCACGCAGTCGTACGAACATTCAGCGTTATTGAATGATCGTCCATCTCAGTGTACGCCAGCTGAGACTCATCCGACAAGCGGGATGCGCCCGCAGCTTGCTTATCCGGATTCCGAAGAACGATGGACCGGGTGCAAGGCGTGAAGCTAGCCAGCACAGGAGAGCCTTGAGTTCCGGTAGCCGGCCACCGACGTTTGGATACCGAGCTAAGTGTTGATGGTATTCTCCCGGCGTTTGTAGACCGCCTTGCGTCCATGACAATTGTATCGTTGTTCATTCCCGGATCATCGACTATGTTGTTAGTATCCAAAGGGGTGTCATGCAGCGCCCACCGCATCAGTTCGTTCTTCACATGTCCTCTCAGCAACGTCATTCGAGTGGCGCGGTTCATGTGGAGCACAGTTGTGCTCGTTCACAGCATTCTCAAACGCCATTGAGACCGAAACGGCGACATGCAGATGACATCAAGAAGATAAAGTTCTGGCAGACGTGGAATGGTGTGTTAATGCGAGGTGACATGTTGGTTCGAAGGTCTGTGACTCTCTGGGTAGTGACCAGTGACCGCAGATCAGGGGCCGACGATCGCTGAACTGGAGCTCCGAGACTGCTGAGAAGACGTTGGCTTGTGCTTGAACTGTTCGTCCGGGTCAGCTCACACCTACTGCGGGGCGCCTTACGCCGTTTTCGCTTACTTATGTCAATCGCGAAGATGCCATGCCATATGTCGATCCAACGGCGAACCCATCTTCGTGCAGGATCTCGAAAGACCCTGGCTATACATACTCAAGCTATCGAAACGTGAAGGTGCCAGAGGCGCGGTACTGTAGGATAAGAACAGCAATCGACATGCGTGCCACAACGCAGCACACGTTACAACTCAGATACGCACGCTAATCCTGCATCGTTGAGGAGGTTCGGAGATCTGCGTGGCTAGTAAAGACACCACAGTCTATGGCTGGTGTTCGGGTCAGCTCTCAAAGAATCATTGCTGCGGTCTCGAACTAGACTAGTGCGCCAAGGAGACAATTTGGCGCTACCGACCCGTTCCGGCTGAGATCACGTTTCACGAGATGCTTCCGAGGTTCCGGTATCTTCTCCCTTCCAAGGTTCTCAGGCATCCACTTGCTTGCACGCACTCTACATGGCAAGATCATGACGCACTTCTACAAAACTTTTTTCGTACTGCGCGACAGATCACAAATCAACTGATGTTGCATGGGCGTTCGTCTGGCTGCATCGCTGACGTAGCGCAAACTTTGTAACCGACCCTGTCCGGGCACACCTCAGCTGTAGGATTCCTGCCGCACCCCGCGTTATGCCGCTGCCAGCACAATATCTGCACGAGATCACGGTTCCTGAGGCAGTACTCGAGTTTGAAACGGACGTTACCTCACGAATGATCCTTCAGCAAATCTTTCCCACGCGAAAGACACATGCTGCATTGCTTGGTATGCCAAAATGGCATATGCATCGCGATGTTGTGTGACGCCTGATTGGTAACAAGACTCAGCAGTACACTCAGCAGGTCTGATTTAGGCGAAATGATCTCGCACGGTGTTTGCGACGCACAAGAGTGTGACTACAGCTGCGAGGCCTTCCGCGCCTGTTGAGAACACTTCAGACACGGTAGACTCGTGGCGTGGCGTCGCGCCTCATCAGTACAACCGGAGTTTCTTTAAACGCGAGGTTCACAACACGGACAAAGGCGGCCCGCCTTACAAGCACTTCACGATGTATATTTCTAATCAGTTATTTCCAGGGCCTGTCCTGAACGGCGGACCAGAGCGCACCAGGTTGGTACGCGGTAAGGCAGCTAACGATGATAGAGTTTGAAGTCCGATCCGCAGGGATGCTTCCGAGCATCAAGACTCGCCATTCTCTGCTTTAGTGTCGCACTAGGACTACGGGCAGATTACACCACACAAATTAGCCGGTATTTGGTGGCTTTCGTGCATGACGCTACCAACTTCGAGTGGTACCCTGTTCTATTCCGTGCTGGTGTACCCCTCAGCATGTGAAGATATCATCTTGACGCGGACGCACAACTTCACCAGCCAGTACCGGAGGCGGAAAGGTTTGCTGAGGATACGGCCAATGAACAACAATGCTACCCGACCGTACAATGAACAATCGCAGTATGCTCGCGCCGACAGCTTCGTGCTGGGCTCTCGCCTGATCATGAAAGCCATTCCGTACGGACTTAGCCAGCCTGGTCATTCAGCAACGGACGTCGTGTATTCGACCAAGACGATTTCTTGTGTAACATCGGGTGCGCCACGCGAAAGCTCGTTCGTCAAAGCACCTGCATGATCTTCACCCGGTGAACCGAGGGACGAGTTCCTGGCTTGGGAGAAGTTCATTCGGTTGACGGCAAAGATCAGCATCCGCCATGAGAAACGCATAGACTGCATCATGCAAGTGGCCTCGTATGTCGTCTTGCTGACTGCAGCGGTTCGCCATGAGAACACGCCCCTCAAATCTAGACTATTTGCGTGTTTAGTGAGGAGTCCATAGTCTCATTGGCCCGAGCCAACTTCTTGCCGTCCGCTAAGTCTAGCTCCTTCGTTAGGCACAGCATCTCCCCAGATCTTCCCTACCGCTGCTTCCAGGGTCATGTTTATCCATCGGTTTTGAGTTTCGGATACCTCCTCAAACGACGTAGCATCCCGGTTCTGTGTGAACTGGCGCACTAGCCCGTGCAGCCTGCAGTGCAGGTACCTCTGGGCGCAGTGCCTGACACATGTACTCTTCCACACACAGGGAACCGCGAATACATATGTAAAGGATTGCCTTGGTCGCCTCATCGTACCTGTCCGACACATCGACAAGCTACGTGTGGCATCGTCTGTACCTTTTTGCAACCGCCATGGATCCTTTAACACCCGAACAGTCGGCTGCCTTGGCCAAGGACGATCGAGGTCCACTCACCAAGTCTATCGTCGTTGCCTTTACATGCATCGCGGTGATATGCGTTGGCCTACGTCTCTTCACTCGGCTTCGATACCTGGGACGAGCATTAGGATGGGAAGACTACACCATCGTAGTCTCTATGGCTCTCTCCATCGCGACCGGTATACTTCAGGTCATGCAAGCCAACGCTGGCAACGGCAAACACGCTCCCCTCATCGAGTTCCCTACCGGAGTTGAAATCATCTTGAAGGTGAGGAACTATCCTTTCTTCATAGTATCAAGCTAATATATCCCAGTACCTCTTCTGGAGTATCATTTGCTACAACGCCAGCCTCATGTTCACCAAAGTGTCTATCCTTCTGCAGTACGGCCGAATCTTCACTGTGCGAGAAATGCGCATCCCTCTCCACATCGTTATGGCCATTTGCATTCTTTGGGGTGTATCTACGATCATCACTTCGATCTTCACATGCGTCCCTATCCACGCTTACTGGAAGATCCTTGAGCAGCCGACTTCGAAGTGTATCGACAACAAGACGTGAGTGCTACCAACTTGCTCAGCCTTACGATGCGCAATGCTAATTTGACAATAGGATTTGGTATGTGAACGCTAGCATCAACATCGTAACCGATCTTCTCGTCGCCTTCCTTCCCGTTCGAGTCATCTGGACCCTGCAAATCGCCATGCGTCAGAAGGTTGCTCTCCTCGCCATCCTTACTATCGGTTGGTTCGTGTGTGTCGTGTCGATCCTTCGGCTCCACGCCCTCGTCGTCCTGGTTGCACATCCCGACGACAACACTTATTACAGTGCACCAACAGCCTACTGGTCCGCGATCGAGATGAACCTTGCTATCGTGTGCGCATCACTTCCTGCACTTAAGCCACTGGTCGTCAAAATCATTCCCGGATTCTCTTCATCGCTCAACGCCAGCAGAGCAATCTACGGAAATGGCACGGGAACTGGAGCCAGCACGAAGCAAATTGGTGTCAGGAGCACAGCAAGGCGCATGGACGATGATTTCGAATTGGGTCGACCAGGTAGCACGACACCATACCAGACAACTTCTGAAGAAGGAGGCATGTATGGCAAGAACATATACGTTTCGCGACATTTCGAGCAGCATTTCGAGCAGAGCTCGCGTATCAGCGACAGCGAGAGCCAGAAGGATCTCGTCGCTGAGCCAAACTCGGTACTTCACTGAGCGATTGTAACATAGAATTTGACATTTTTCTTCCGAAACCTGCTCATGCATGAACCCGTCTCCTCTCCTCTCCACTTCCCGGTCTGATGTTGAAAGCTCCCAACGGAACAGCGCACGGTACCTCGCGACGTGCCGCCTGCCAGGGAACGCATCTCGGTTACCATCTCCTGAGCCCGAGGGCGCAGTGCGCAAAACGCCTCTTTCCTATACCCACCACTCGTTCATACAGTCGAACTCCGCCGCGCGCTGAATGGCTAATGCCAGTCTTGGCCTCCACTATTAGCCGCGATCATGGACTCGGGCGAGAATGCAGCGCCACCCGCCGGAAGGCTTGAATTTGATATCCTTCGAGTATAGCCCCAGCCCCAGTGCCTAAGGGGTTCGTGGATAGCGCACCAAGGTACGTACCTGAGCGCTGGGCTACAACATGCCGCCTGCCTAACACGGCCAAGCATGAGGCCTCAACATCGACGGACGCTTTGAACCGACCTGCCGCCGTCATCTGCATGACACGTGAGCCACGCGTCTGACGGAGATGCTCCCTGTGGCACGCAACGTCGACGATGCCGACGGAGCTGTCGATCACCCTCCGGCATCTCCACAGGCATCTCTCGCTAGCCCGTTCGAGCCTGGCACCTCGGTAACGGCCCGATTGCGCACCAGCATGCCGGTCGCTTCTTATATCCGTTGCCTCCCTTTCGCGAACGTGAATCGCGTATGTAGTTATAACAATCTCAATCGGTCCGCGAACCGGATCGCTGGTCGTTTCCATACCTGTCGGAGAGTGTTCCGAATGATCGGCGCTCTGCCTCCCGGGCGTCTTCGCGTAGCTGAGTACGGTAGCAAAACACCTTGTGTTAGACAAATCGCATCTCTCATATACATAGATCGGAAACCGGCAGAAGAAGGGCCGGTGACACTGGATCTCACCAGTGTACCGGGTTTCATTGACCCTGACGACTGACGTGCCTTAGCAGATCAGAATGGAAGGACAGCAATGTTCGACGTGCCAAAGGGGCAGCTTCTAGTGTTTCCAGGAGAATACTATCGGAGGACACTATCTCGAGGACATCCGAGTACGTTCGCTTATGCGCTAATGTTCTGTGACGCTTCCCATCACGCCCCAACGGTGACAATTCACGAGATCATCGACTTTAATCGTACGATGTTTACTCATCAATGGGAATCTCCAATACGCTATGTCATGGATGGGACAATCTCATACCCGGGATGCGAATCTGATCGGACTTCTGCACCGCGTCCTATGGCGAAAGATTCCGTGAACATGTACCCATGGCCGCGGAAAGAATCACGTACATTCACTCCGCCCAGGGCTTCCTTGCAACGGCTCTCAATCCCCATTATACCCAGACCTCCGAGCCGTCCTCCTGGTTGCGAACTCAAACCCAGCCCGATCGCAGATCTGACATGTCATGGCACGGCGAAAACACCTGTAGCGTCTAGCGGAATGTGAATATCAACGGAGCTTTTATTTAGATCGCGTATAATAAACCTTCATGATCTGTCTAAACTCTATCTCGGTCACTACGTGCTGGTTTTGCGGTTGTCGCAACATTGCGATCGACAAGAAGCAGGCGTCTAGCATAACCACTAGAATCTATCCTGAACACGCAGGGGAATAGGTGTACCACTATCAAGCTTCTTCTCTTTAGTCTCCTTGATGTCGAGACCGAGGAAACAGCAGGCTGGTATATACCTCACCTTCTACACTAACTAGGCAATGCAAAGTGCCTAGGTATTGCGCTGAGGGACTTGCAATTGAGCAAGAGCTCGTGTTTCATCATTTGCTGGACCGCTCCTCGTGAGATGTAAATAAGGTGACTGGTCGAACATCGCGATCTATCGTGGCGTTGAGTTTTGCATCATCCAGCAAGACTACCTAGGTAGGTACCCAGGTACGGCTCGGGGGCTATCATCCGACCGTCCGACGTGGTAGAACGCTTGTCTTGGGGTTGAGGAACACGATAAATCAAAAATGACTAATCTTTGCACAGTTGCTTCCTTGTAGGTACCTGGGCATGTAACAACAGTTCGCTAGAATCCTTTGCCGTTAGTGTCGATGACGGCCTGGGCAGCGGGGAAGTGCGCGACCCGCTCCGGCCCCAGGGGCCTTGAGCGCCGCAGCATCGTCCCACCTGGTCGTCTACTTCCTTTCTTCGCATCACTCACACCCACTCTCATCAACATCAATATCGTCTGCGACAACACCATCGCCATTAGGAGTGTGCGTGTCTCCCCTGTCACGCCTTCCGACGTGATCGTGTAGTTGTCATCCCACTTCGGCGCGGAGCTCGGTGGGCCGCGCTGGTTGCATCGCATATAGCACCTGTTTATTCACCTCGCCTTGGCCGTCGCATCTGCAAAGAGAGATGCATTCCAGTTGGATCGCGGGTACACAAAATACGGAAGACCTTGTCTTTAACGATTACCATTGGTGGGTCTTCTCGTGCAAGATTGATTAACATATTGCGGGGTGCGTCATTTCGAGATGAACTGTGGATCCATGGAGCGACTTCTTTGAGGCCATTTTACGTGTTTCTTTGGCAAGGCGAGGTATGAAAACTGGAAGTGAGCACCCCATGATCATCGGAGAAAGTGTCATTACCGCCAACTAGACACTATACCAAGACCTTCAGCTGGACCAGCCGGCTTATTCTTGGGATAAGCGGAGCTGAGCCCTTCGGTGTATACCTAGGTATATCTTGATGATTTCGAAGGACACAAAGATTGCACTACATAGGCGTTCGATAACAATCTAGAAGTTGCGCTCCGCCCAACACGGTACGAAAAGTATACACCCTACCAACATGCGCGTCACTATCCGCTCGGCATGGCTGGCTATCGCAGCCTTGGCAGTAGCAGCATCAGCAACTCCAATGGAACTGACAAATCGCCAATCGACGGTGAAGATCATGACTCTCGGCGATTCGATCACCGGTAGCCCAGTATGTACCTTGCACCAATACTACTGCAATACGTACTTAAACACTACACAGGGCTGCTGGCGGGCTTACCTCTGGCAAAACCTCCAAGAAGCCGGTATCAAGAACACCGACTTTGTAGGCAGTCTGGCTGGCCAGGGCTGTGGCTTTCCATACGACGGAGAGAACGAGGGACATGTAAGCTCAGCATCACGCACCCATTGCACCGCTGATCCGGAACGGCAGGGTGGCTTTCTAGCAGTGAACATCGCGAACCAGAACCAGCTTCCCGGTTGGCTCTCATCCGCCAAACCCGACATCGTCATGATGCACCTCGGTACGAACGACTTGTGGAGCAACCGCTCGCCCCAAGAGATCACCACCGCATTCAGCAAGCTCGTAGACCAGATGCGCGCCTCGAAGCCTACGATGAAAGTCCTTGCCGCGAAGATCATTCCCATGAATCCGTCGAACTGCGCTGAGTGTGGGCAACGTGTGGTTGCTCTGAATACTGCGATTGAAGCATGGGTTGCTACCAAGACGACTGCGACCAGCCCCATCACGGTTGTAGACGCTTGGACTGGGTTCGATACGAAGACTATGACCGGCGATGGCGTTCATCCGAATGATGCGGGTAACAAGAAGCTGGCCAAAGCGTGGTTTCAGCCATTGGCGGATGCCATCAAAGGCTGATATGCCTGGACAAACAATGTCTGTATTTTATCAAGAGGACGCAATGTTGACAAGTTCTCGGGCCATCGGTGTATACATCTCATTGATGCGCGATGTACTGAGACGCGTTGGTGTATGTCGGCTCCGTCCGCTGCATTTGGCCGCTCTTCCACTCTGCAAGAAATACTTGTTATCCTCAAATTGCATGAACGATCTCTCCTCCGGACTCCGAAACCCCGAATGTCCCCGTACATAAATTCGTACGAAGTTTGCTTATGTTCCGTGTCATCCCATCGTGTTGTCGCTGAGGGTTCGGCGTGCCAAGATATCCGAACATGAGGCTGTCGGCGATACTTCGTAGCAATCAGCCACTCCAGAAACGCGTGTACTTTCCTGTCTAGGGAAGGTATACAACATCGCCTTCGGCCGTAAGAACATACTGAATGCATACGCTTCGCGCGTTGCGGACTCTGGAATCACCGGCATGATGGGTGATTTCTTATATATGGTATCGAGACCAAGTATGAGCATTCTCACCATCAAGTCCTACATACCAGCTTCTCTATGTCTGCCTCTGGAACCACTATGCTCATGCGAATACTCACCGCGGCAGCGCTGTATGCTGCAACAAACGCCATACCGGCACGACAGCCATCCTTTGCGGAGACCGTGTTCCACAACGGCTCCATCTACACGCTGGACGCGTATTCGTCAAAGGTCGAAGCGCTGGCAATTAAAGACGGCGTCATCACCTTTGTCGGATCGAACGAAGATGCCAAAGTACGCATTGGCAATGCGACTCAGGTAGTCAATCTCCAAGGCCACGCTGCCATTCCAGGCTTGATCGACTCCCATATGCACATCCTCGGTGGCGGCATCTATCTCCTCAAATGCGACCTGAACTACCAGCCGCTCGATCTACCTGGAGTTCTTCAGCACATCCAGCGCTGCATTGACGATGAACCCGACAAACCGGATGATGCTTGGATGGAAGCGGTGAACGTGGACTACTCGACTCTCACCTCACGGAGCGGAAAAATCGACAAGACAAGCATCGATGTGCTGAAGACGAAACGCCCTGTAGTCGTCCGCTCAAGCGACTATCACACCATCTTGGTGAATTCGCGGGCGTTGGAGATATCCAACATCACCGCTGCGACTCCGAACCCATCCAATGGCGTTATCGAACGGCTACCCGGAAGCCAGGAGCCTTCAGGCGTACTTGAAGACAATGCTTCTGATCTACTCGGCATACCTCTGCCTTCCCCAGAAGAGGCCGTGAAGGCCGCTCTAGCTGCTATGCAGCTACTGCGCCAGTCCGGTATCACTACCTTTCAAGAGGCGATGGCTTTGAAGGAGTACGACCAGGTGTTTCAGGCTGTCCAGCAGGGAGGAGGTCTGAGCGCACGAGCGTTCTTTGACTACCGTGTTGATGCTCCAAGCTCCGTCGCCGAAGTGCCTGATCTAGTGGCCAAGACTGTCGAGCTCATTCGCGGGTTCGATAATAACTCTACGATGCAGCCTGCTCCATCACTCAAATGGCAGGCCGTTAAGGCCTTCTTGGATGGTGTCATCACTTATCCGGCAAGAACGGCAGCTCTCATTGAGCCATACTGGAGCTTGGTCAATGGGTCTAATACGACATGGGCACCTGACCCAAGCACGCTCAGGAAGACGTACTGGGAACCTGAGATCCTTGCACGTACTCTTTCGGGCTTCTTCCTCGCCGGTATAGACGCACAACTCCATGCCGACGGCGATCTTGCTGTCCGCGTTGGTCTCGACGCCGCCGAATCGTTCCGTAAAGCGCACCCCGGGCACGACTTCCGCCTTGGCCTAGCACACGACGAGCTCTCTCACCAGGACGACTGGCGCCGTTTCAAAGAACTGGAAGTCGACGCCATCATGAGCTTCCAGTGGTCTCAGCTCGCCCCTTCATACCTCCCAAACACGTTCCCATCGCTAGCCGAATACCGCCGCCAGAACTTGCAAGCCTATGCCGAGATCGAGAAAGCCGGTCGACCCGTTACCTACGGAAGTGACTGGCCAGTCGATCCTCTCGACGAGTTCCTGGCTCTGAAGATAGCAGTCACGCGATCAGGTGATCCCGGTAATCCCCATTCCTCGGCATCTCAGGGCGCTCCTTACAATGGCACCTTTCCTGGCGAGGGTATCTCCCGCGAAGCTGCTCTTCGCGCCATGACTATCAACGGCGCCAAGTTCCTGAGGGCAGAGAAGTACATTGGATCTCTGGAGGTTGGCAAGTTTGCTGATCTGATCGTCTTGGAGAACGACTACTTTACTGTGCCGGAGGAGATGATTGGTCGCCAACGTGTCCAGCTCACGATGGTGGGAGGTGAGGTCGTGTATATTGCTAAAGAGGCTGATCAGAAGTTTGGAAATATCACTGCCAAGTATCCTAACGATGACAAAGCGAGTGTAGCTCTGGATCGCAAGGCAATCGGCGGCTTGGACCGCAAGCAGGTGTCGATGAAGGGAGCTGTGAATGCTGCAAAATTGAGGAAGAGGAATGAGTGCGTGCATCATTGAAGTAGCGTAGCCACCTGGGGGTAGTAGTGCGCCATATATCTCTGTCAATTAGACCATGTAGCCTGTCAGTATTAGCATTTTAAACAGCGCATTGAAATAAAATTTTGATTAGAGTTCTCCAAGAGTGACATGATGCATGCCTGAATCGCGGTGCAGGTTGTGAGATAAGTCATCCTCAGACGGGACAACGACCTCGTAGAACTACCGAAATTCGGCATAAGCGAAATGCGCCGGAGTCAGTACAGGCTGCAGTTCGCCATACGAATACAGGCCCATCATCATGCCAGTGAAAGGCTGCCCAATGTCTGGGTTACGCGTCATGACCTGGGTATCAATCTCGCCCAGCCATGTCCACTCAGCGCTCTGCTGTGCCCCATCGCCGATTTCCCGGTAGCCAAACCGGTAGGAGGTAGCCGTACTCTCGATGGCGAGCTTCACCTCACCCTTCTCTGAAATGGGTTGCTCCACATTCTCCATGTCTGGACGGGTAAGTCGAATGCATCGTTGAGACTGACCATTGCGATCGGCAAAAGCAATGCCAATGCTAGAGTAGCAAGTGTGATTCCAGTACAACACGGTTCCGGCCTCGACGCGTGGAGCGTTTGGTTGGAAATCCAATTGGGTCTCCCACGTCACCAGCCAATGTCGTTGCTTTCGCAGGAATAGCGTCGGACATGCTGGCATCGAGAGGGTGTATGGACCGCCATTTAGGGTGAGAGAATCGTGTCGCGCTGTCATCGAGTAGTCCTTCTTCACGGGTGTATCTAGGCGTGCATTAGCTTTGTACCCTATGCCAGCTTCTTGGATTGCTTACTCTTCCTGTACCAGCCAAGGCCGAGCCTGACCCCGCTGAAATCATCCCTCCAAGCCTTGTCGTCATCAAGAGTGGACTCTTTCGGCCCGTTCATCTGCAGTGTGACCGGTTTCCCTTCGTTGAAAATTGGCCAGTCATTTTCCCAACGGACAGGGAGTAACATGGACTCGCGTCCGAAAACCGAAGTTCGCCATTCGTCATCTTCCTTCCTCGGTCGCACGCCTAGACACATGGCCCACCACTGGCCTTGGGTGTCCTCAACAATATCGCAATGGCCAGTATTCTGGATCTCGTCGTCTGTTGTGTTGCGCCAAAGTGGGTTGTGCGGTGCTTGCTCCCAAGGTCCGAAGGGGCTTTCCCGACTCCGGCTCACATATTCGCAGTGCCCAGACTCTGTGCCTCCTTCCGCCGTGAAGAGATAGTAGTAGCCGTTCAACTTGAAAAGATGCGACCCCTCTGATATACCGGACTCCGACTCCCGAACCATCTTAGGCGTAGACTTCAAAGTGCCAGTTTCCAGATCGACAGTAGATATGTGTATCGCAAAGTCTTTCAATTTGCCCCCAGGAGTCCGATCAAGCTTCCTGTAGGTGGAAGACAAGTATACCTGACCATCGTCGTCCCAGAACAGGTCGAAGTCGAAGCCAATTTGGTCGAAGTACACAGGTTCGGACCACGTGCTGTCGTTCCAGATGTTGGTGGTTTTGACGTAGAAGCCTCGGGGCCATACGCGATCGTCGTTTTGCGGTCTGTATCGGTCGAAAGAGTTGGTAATGATATAGAATGTCCCCTTGTGGTAACGAATGGTTGTTGCCCAGATACCGCCTCCCGGCTCAGGAGTCTTGATATCCAGTTGTGACTTGCGCGAGAGCGCATGGCCGATCAGCTTCCATTTGATAAGGTCTTTACTGTGATATATGGGCGCGCCGGGAAAGTATTCGAAGGACGAGGTAACACAGAAGTAGTCGCTACCCACGCGTACGACAGACGGGTCTGGGTTGAAGCCAGGGAGAACTGGGTTGGTGAAAGCAGACATGGCGAAAGTCGCTACCTGTATTTTGGTCTTGGGAAAGTCAATGTGGGATGAGGCTCAAAGGCTTGAGTGAGTATATAGGCCAATTGCACCGCGGCTGCCATCTTCCGCGATGAGCCGCATGCCGCGTCTGCGGATGAGGCTGAGACCATTTTGACGGCCGACGAGTGGGAGCCCAATCGCGTAAAAGTACGGTCGCGCGTTTTTCCTCGAATCACAATATGTGTGGATGTATCTCGTGATGTTCCAGGCCTTCCGAGGAGCTATCGTGAGAGGAACACGGGGGAGCTGGAGGATTGAGGGGTAAGGCTTGGCGAGGCCAAAGCGTTCCTTCACGGGCAAATCTCGGGTCTCTCAACAAAACAACACGCCTGGTTCACAACACACGCGGCAGCCGGCACTGCCTCTGCACTTATCCAAACACATCATGTTCGCACGGAAGCGAGTGTGCCGAATATGCGCTTTGTGATCGCGGTACAGTGGGTAGCGCTTACATTGCCAGGCGCGCTCCCATCTACTTAGGTATGCTAATGAAACATCCTCAATTGTAGGTTACTGCCATACCACCAGGCAGCTCCGTCAACCAGTCACCGCTTACTCCGACATCCTCAACCGCCTGTTGCGGTTTCTTGCATTTCATCGAGTCTTGCGCAGACTGAATCTTCAACACCTGACAGTTGGCGTTCGCACACTTGCCGCTTGGCAAAGCATCCATGGCCTTCTGGAGCGAGTCGTCTTTCCAGCCAAAGAGGTAGTCACCATGCTGTCCGTAACCCGTACTATCTCCCGTCAGTCATTACGAAACAAGCAGAGAGAGGAGCGCTCACCCATCGCCAAAGCTGTACACGAACGGCTGCTTGTTGTTGCCGTACCATGCGTTGTTTTTGTACCGGCCGGTGTCCCACATGATCTCGTACATCACCTGCGGGATAGCTACCGGGTGCGTACTGGGACAGTTTGGGGTGCCTAGACCTCCGCCGTTGGAGTACGCGACGTGGCTTTTGTGATCGGGCGAATCAAGGTTCTTTCCATCCCAGCAAGACGGAAAGATGACCGTCGCTCTGATGCCACCAGGACAGTACTTGTTGGGCAGTTCTGCGGTGTCTTTCGCGTCACAGGGCGCAAAGCCTTCCCCGTTTTGCAAGCATCGATGGCAGATGCTCGCGCGATTAGGCTTCTTGGCCATAGGATCACCCGCAATCATGCGGAACCCAGGCTTGAAGGCCGTCATCTTGTTGTTCTTCGCAGAGTACGGCATGTAGTACACCGTCATGCCACCGTCTTGCTGGAGCCCTACGTTGGCGAACTGGGGCACACGTTGGAATGTGCCATTCTCGGGCGATTTGAAGTAGAGCGAGGCAGTCCAGTAGTTGCTGAAGTCCTCGCTGTATGTGCAAGACGTACAAGTCGAACGTGTCGGAGGATCAAAGACACCAGGCTCCATCTATGATCTGTCAGTGGACGTGTTGCTCATGGATCGGGTGGAGTATTACGGTAAGGTTGAAAGAGTTTCCTCCGATAATCTGATGCGTGTGTGGTGAGGGTCGCTGGCCGGGGTTCACCAACGGATCGGCTCTCTCAACGGTGAGCTGCGAGCAGGCGAAGCGCAGCATGTTCTGCGCAGAGACGCATTGCGTCAAGAGCGCGCTGGCGAAGACGGTGGACCAAATCATGACGACGATGGTATGACTAGCTACTGGTGAGTTGCGAAAGCCATCAGGTCGAAGTTACGAGGCTTCTTAAGCCAAGGAGTTCTCATGACGTCCATCCAAAGTGGAGGTTTGCTATCAGTGAGTATATTACGGTGTGACGGCAGTAGTACTTCTCCTCTCATTCATACCAATAACAGCGCGATAGATTTCCCAGTCGTACATCTTGTGACGTTCATTTCACAACAAAGCTGTGGCGATTGCTCGACTCGATCATTTGGATGAAGTAGTTAATTAACACAAGTTACCGGCAGTTGCAGCTACAATACCGAAGGCAAATCACAACAAGCTTTCGCTCCCGAGACTGCCGACAGGGATGTTGCAGTACAAGATCGGTCATCGTACAGGTCTGATATAGATTGCTGCAGCCATCGGCATGTCTGAAGCATGGGGGAACAAGTCCAGGGCAAGATAATCCGGTAGAAAATCTCGGGAGTTGGTAACGCGAGTGGAAGCCGTACGGCAGCGGCCTCTATCTTCGCTCTCTCATCCTTCCAACTGATGCCATGGACTTCAAGGTATGAAGAGAGATGAGGTTGTCAAAGCATCGTGTTGCTTTCGGCGGTTTTGCTGCAGTCCGGCTGCGACTGCCCCATTGGGCGGTTTGCGGGGGTGAACCGAGGATGTCTGCGATATCCGAGCGCCAATACATCTACACCATGAAGCTGGGCACCATGTGCGTCGGGGAAGTATCGTCTCTTCTCTGGAGACAGGCACTTTTATCCGTCTCTACTTCGATTGCGTAACTGCTTTGCATGCCAGCATGACGCAACAGCCGCCTCAGGCTTCCTCCTCAACAACAGGCTTCTTCCAAGCCCTTCCGGTACTTCCGCCACAATTTACCAGTCCGACTTCACTACCAGAGGCTTTCCGTAGTACGCACTCGAATTCGACACAAGCTTCCGATGACAAAGTTATCGCGCGAATATTGGATCTCTACCTGCCACAGGATGCAACGGAGGCTACCAAGCGTGCCCATCACCTAGCACGTCTATCACTCAATCCATCTATTTTGAAGTACGCCACGGACGCGGAGACCAACCACCCGGTACTGCGTCCGCTCTCTACCTTCGGCGCGGAAAACAAGAACGATCCCTTGTGGACGACAGCAGGATGGCAGAAGCTAAAGGAGATTGGCTATCGTGAAGGTGTCGTCTCGGTAGCTTATGACAAGTCTCATCGCCGCTTCAATAGGCGCGTGGGACAATTTGTCGAAGGCCATGTATGGGGCCCGACAGGCACCATGACCGCATGCCCTCAAAGCATGACCGATGGCGCCGCGACATTGTTGGACAAACACAAGAACGACGAAGATGGCGATCAGCCGGGTCGAGGTGAAGTGCTACGGGAAGCGTATCTGCGGGTATGTAGTCGCGACCCTGATGTGGCTTGGACAAGCGGACAATGGATGACTGAGCGATCCGGTGGAAGCGATGTATCTGGCACGGAGACACTTGCTCGACGCATGACACCGCAGGAGCTGGATGAAGACGCAGATCGAAGAAGAGATCGCGATGCAGTTGGTATGCAACTGGGCCCCTGGAAGATACATGGTTTCAAGTGGTTCAGTAGCGCAACGGACTCAGAGATGGCTGTACTCCTCGCGCGAACAGACAAAGGCGGCCTGTCCGCCTTCTACATGCCCATGCGACGACGCGTGGGAGGGCAATCCATGGAGAGTCATACGCTAAACGAAGAAGCCCCGCCTCTCACCGAGCTCAACGGCGTTCGCATTCAGCGCTTAAAGAACAAACTCGGAACGAAGTCACTACCAACTGCGGAGCTCGAACTCAACGGCGCACGCGGTTGGCTCATTGGCAAAGAAGGTCAGGGTGTTAAAGAGATCTCCGCCATTCTCAACATCACGCGCTTGTATACCGCAGCTGGTAGTGTAGGGAGTTGGGCGCGAGGTCTGGCAATATCCCGCGCCTACAGCAAAGTACGCAAAGTCCGTGGCGGACTACTCCAAGACAACCCAGCGCATCTTGCATGGATGGCCGAAGAAACAGTCAAGTACTGGGCCAGTGCGCACTTCACCTATCTCGGCGTTGCTCTACAGGGCGCTTTGGAACAAGATTGGGACGAGATGATCGTGAACACAAAAGCCGTGCATCTGATCCCGAGCGACAAGACCACGGTAGCGGCTTTACTGAGATTATTGCTGCCAGCGATGAAAGCTCAAGTCAGCGTCGCATCCGTTGATGGCTTGCGACAGTGCATGGAGTGCCTCGGCGGTGTCGGGTACTGCGAGAACAACGAAGATGGCGGGCTGATGAACATCGCGAAGATCTACCGAGACAACCTCGTCAATCCGATATGGGAAGGCACCGTCAGCGTCATGGCAGAAGATGTCGTTCGGGTACTCACTGACAAGCGAATGGGCGGCGGCGATATCATGAAGAATATCTTCACACCGTGGGTCAGGAACGTGCTCGGTCGATGTGCTCCAATCTTCCTAGATCAAGTCTCGATTGTCGAAGAGAGACTTCAGGCGCTCAACGACGTTGTTCACAGTGCACAGAAAGAAGAGCTGCTATACCGTGGACGAGAAATTCTACAGCATCTCGAGATCATCACCAGCAGCGTCGCGCTGATGTACGATGCGCAAGCAAACCCAGACCCTGTTGCACGGGAGATCGCAACACGATGGATCCACCTGAAGGCAATTTTGCCACAAGCGCATCCGCGCTCTCAGAATTGGAAAGAACTGTCGAGTATGGACAAGCGCATCTTCCTTGGAACAACGGAAGCAGCCGTCGGTGTTTCAGCAAAGCTCTGAGGCAAGTGTGGTTGCGAGGGATGCGATTGGTCGCGCAACAAAGCCCTGGAAACATTCAGCTACTATTGGGAGGATGCCAAAACAAAACCGCGCTTCAAGTAGACCGCGGAGTTAATTCATCCAGTGCTTCATCTTGTGAAACTATTAAAGTGTGGTTACTTTTGCTGTCGGCTATCGATGTACCAGATGTTGCAGCACAACTTGCCTGTGAGGTCGAACTTGAGGCGAGGTGAGCCCTCTATTATCACCCCTTCTTGTCGGGATTGCAGCGTCGCGTCTTACTGGCGCCATCTATTTTCATCTTTCTCGCAGACATGCATTAAGCAGACCCCGAGAATCCGATCGTACCTTTTTCCCACGCGCCCTGCAGTACCGTAGCTCCCAGATACTTAGGATGCGACAGTGCGCTCGAAACGACACTTCCGCGACGCACTCGGCACCTCCCGCACTCTGCAAAACGAAACATTCCCGCCAAGTCTTCCGCAATAGCCCAGCTCCAAGGTTCAGACCAGACAGCTGTTGTTCGAGTAGCCCTAATAACTTTGACAAGATGTTTTGCCTAGTGGCGTCCCCGTAGCGGGAGTCCGTCAGAGCGCGCATCCCCACATTCTCCGGTGGTGCCAGGATGCGACCTCCCGAATGGCGCGCCCGCCATCAGCACGATGGGTCTCCACTTCCAATGCCGAGAAGAGTAAAGCTTCGTGATTACTACACTGCCTTGCAGGTGATGTTGACCAGATATGGGAAAGGCGGGTACTTTCAGCAAATGCGCCGGAAGACGTACAACGTCGAGTTGCACCTTTCTGGGTCGAAGAGAAGGAAACAACACGCTAGAGCGGACGCAAAACAAATTGCGTCGGAGAGGAAGACTACGACTTGTCATTGCAACAGTATGCTATGGTTCGGCTGAAGACAGGGTAAAATGCGCCATGCACAAGCTTATTGATAAAGTTTCTCGGACGTCAGCCTTGTACCTCGCATCATGCAGGTGGAGGGATAGGATTGGCGGGTTGCGCAACTGCACGACAAGCAACTTTCCCTTCCTCGCGGACCCAACGCATGAACTTTGTAGCTCGAAAAGCATATGCAGTCCTTGTATCAACCAGCCAGCGGTTCCCCAATGATCGTGCAGCAAGGATACGCGAACAGGTCCAATAATCGTCTTGAAGGCTCGAATGTCGTCGGTTTCACGACACCATCATTCGCTACTATAGCCAGATATTGCGTTAGCTGACACCCACTAGTTCAGTACATGGATCAACGGTGACTTGCTGATCGTCGCAGCAAATGGTGTCTCACTACATGGCACTGCAAGCCGAGTGATGCATCATCCGCGGGAAACTAGACATCCATGAACCGTGGAGCGCAACATTGCCCAGCAGGGAGGGGCGTATAAGTTGACAGGCTCGCCGCGCGTTCGTGATGGAAGGATCAAGACACGAAAGATAGATCGCGACGAAACGACTTCAAGATGGCGACTAACCACAGCGATGTTGAGCTCATACCTGGTACGGAGATTATCAACGAGGATAGCTCCGCGCAGACGACGCTCATACCCACGCCCTCTTCTGATCCTCGCGACCCTTTGAATTGGACCCGAAAATGGAAGCGTATGTTGACCCTTCACCAACGCCTGAGTCTTCGCTGACAGCTATCACAGTCATGGTAATGGCCTCGCAATGGCTCTTCACTTGGATCTCCGTCACCGGCGCGCTATCCATTGCGCCGATGTTCCCTCTTTTGGGCGCCCAGTTCCATCTTAACAACAATCAGTTGGCTATGCTGACTGGCATCACTGTCATCACACTCGGGTTCGCCAACTTCATCATCGTGCCGCTCTCCAATATCTTTGGTCGACGCGCTATCAGCTTGACCTTTTCGGTGTTCATTCTTTTGTCATGCGTATGGCAGGCGATGGCGACCAGTCATAGCAGTCTACTGGCGGCGCGTGCTGTCAACGGTCTGGCCTGTGCGACGAGCGAGAGTATCCCTGTGCAGATGATTGCCGATGTCTTCTACCAGCACGAGAGGGGTCTCTGGACGGGTGTATACTTGTAAGCGATGCTCCTTCGCGCGGTCGAGCTCCATCTAACAGATACTGCAGCACCGGCTACTTCATGGGAGCTTTCCTGGGTCCGATCATGGCTGGTTCCATGGCAGCTCATTATGGCTGGCAGTCGTTCTT